ACTGAAACGAAAAATCTGCAACCTCGTACCACACTCTGTTCATGGACAAATGCAAGTCGAACTCATAGCACAATAAAGGAGGACATGGGTAACTGAATGAGAAGAGTATGAACAAGTACAAGCTATGTGAAAAGGGAGAGAAAGAAACGATACCATAAGGACTCAGACAGGAGATCAATCGATAACCAGTAAGTTAACGGTAGTAGGAGTAATAGGGAAAAATCGATGGAAACGGAAGAAGTAAGGGTGAGCTCAGACTACAACAACTAACTACAATGAAACCCACAACAACCAACTACAACGAGAACTTTCACTCCACTCAGAGTCCTCTGAGTCCCCTATCACTTCCCAGTCCCTATAGAACAACCAGACATTCAAATCAAACAAATTCATTTAGAATCAAAAGAGTTAAAACACGGAGATTAACAACATGACATATGAAGGCATAAGAAACAAACGAGAACTCCAGTCCTTTCCTCTGTCTTATCATTCTCCTCGATTGAAATCCAAAATAAATCCACGATACTGAAAATATCCATCGTTGTTCAAGCAAATGCAATTAGGGCTGTCAAACATAATGTCTTGGATATTTGACGAATAAACTCTGAAATGAATGTTTGTTTGTGGAGGGTCAATTAAGGTGAAAGTTCGCTCACGTGCAAGCTGTCATCTCTTTGTTAATGAGCAGAACACTATGTCAATTCATGGTACCGCCCTTTTCAGAAGACTATAATTTACGAGATCTTCGCTTGCAACTCACTTCACCTATCGTCCAAACCCAGTCATCAACAATGCCTCCTCAGACGTTTGGAAGTATGGTTGTCGTTTTTTTCTTTGTCACTTTCACAGGTTTAATTTTTTCTTATTAAAATAAGCTGATGAATTAATTGAAGCTTCAGAAGCGCAGCATAGTGATATCATTACTAACGTCGCTTATCATAAGGGATATAGCCCGTCATCTATTATCCGTCCCAGTAGTTTCATAACAGCCAGGCGCTCAATGCCGATAAGTATTATATCTTATTTTACTAAACTCATTGATAAACAGTGTCAGGGTATGCGCCGCTATCTCCCTCAACTATAAGAAAAAGTACACTCGATGCTAGTCAGCCACTTCCATGCTGTAAAGATGAATCTGGAGGATCCATTTGTCGTGCAATGAAATCAAATGATCCCCGTGGTTTCGCACAAAAGTAAACAACATCCTCCTACTTGATTAATCCTCCATATAGATGTGCGAAAGAGCCGGACTTCTCATTGGTTGTGTGCTGCAAATCATGCGATGAGCTAGGTCAGAACTACCGTGAGAGAGCAACAACGTTGGTTCATGATGATCAACTTATTCAAGCCATACTCTCTTTACAGATTCTTCTCTCCTAGTAATAACAACACAAACTGCTTTGACAGAATGAGCCCAACCTATTGTTCCCGCTTTCAAAGTAATTCAGACTCTTGGAGCGCTAAACGGTTGGAAGTTCTTTGAAAAATATGAAATATCTCACTTGTTTCAGATGGTCTTGCCGGTCTGAACATTACCGATTGGGTTTCCGCGTGTGCCGTTCAACTTGTGGTTTCTGTAGCGTAGATTGGTTGAATGCTCCTGAGCCAGCAAAATGCAACTAATAATCAATCAGAGTATTTTGTTATCTATGATGAGCTAAAGGTAAGTTCAGCTCACCAATTGTTATATACTCTGATAGTAGAATAAAAAAGTCTGTATTAGGAAGTTCTGTTATTTATTAATAATTAGGTTCCTTAATGACACTTGTCGGCAAATTGGTTAAGTTGATTGAAAGTATGGCATAGAAGACAACGAAGAATACCAGTACTACTATAAGCCTTCGCTTCCATGATGAAAGTAATGAGTGTAAGAGAATCATGTACGATATATCAGCCGTAAGCTCGTCACTGCTGTTGTCTGTCAAGTCGTGAGCTCTCACATCTATGTCTTTGCTCGTGTTATCTTTCGAAATGCACAGAATGAAGTTCCATAGATTGCAGAGAACTGAAGTTATGAAGCGAGCGTAGAAGTACTTGACTGTAATCGTAACATTATACTTTGAGAAAGCTTGTTAACTCACCTAAAGGAGGGAATTCTTCAACTGTGTTTTTCAAAGTGAGATCCTGAAAGTATAAGCAGAAGGCTGGAATCATAGCACAGTTCAGATAGAGGTTCCTTGAGAAAATGAAAAGCAAAGCATCGATGAATCCAATAGCTGAAAAAGATTTATGAATAAGGAATCACCTCAAAACATCGTGGAACTAGAAGACACATAGAGAACTTCCAGAAGGTTTACCTAGGGTTGGCACGAATATTGTGGTTATGAGACGTGGTGAAACTCGTTGTAACACAAATCCGAACTCTATGTACGGGATATCCAAAGTTCCACTTCTGCAAAACATTAAAAGGTGCAAAGCAGAAAGAACCAGATGGTCCTACTTGTCCCATTCATGCATGTTTCTGGTAAGAACACTAGAGTTGATTGATCTTATGGCATGACCATTATGCTTCGAATTGAAGTTCAAGTTCATAATGTTCTCTCCTGGGTAAATTGCTGAAAACAGGTTCATTAAAAGAGGAAGAAAAAGCGAAATACGTTTGTACGCGTAGTTCCCATTGGCATGAGCATCGAGCAACACTTGATAGCACGAATATGTCTCGAATGGGAAATTTATGGATACTTGAGTACAGGAAATGGCCATCACGAACCGCATACTATATAAAATAGTACCGTCCATATAAGGAGATATCGTCTCGCCATTGAAGAAGCTTGAGGATCTATTACAGAAGGAACCTTGTCTCACTCAATTATCACAACAAACCTGAATGTTAGCAACTGCAGTTGCGACTTAATGCCAGGAACCCAAATGTTTTTCTCAACAGTCTTATACTCTTTATCGTTTATACCACTGAAAAACGACACTGAATGATAATCCGTGGAGTTGTATGCTTTTCGTTTGTCTTTCCAAGTCTGAAAACCGAGGAATGGATGCGAAACAAAAAACAACTAACCAAACGAAGAGAACCATGTATCGTCAATGTGTCTGAATCGAATTGCTGAAAGTTATAACATTGCCTAATACTTAAAGACTTTCGATGTTCACCATAAACGTCTCATAGACATCAATTGCAACTTTGACAACAAACGGAGTATTTGGGGGAGCAGTTTTGTGAGGGATAAGATAAGGAGGAGGGATTATAGCTTGGATTAAATGAGTACATAGATACAGGATGAGGACTGTCCACAACATTACCGTTAATTAGAAATTAGGGCATCCACTATTGCTCATCAGTTTATCTATGAAATAATAAACAAAGGGGAAATTGAATATTGCAGAAGCATAAACAGTCTCTATCACACAACGTCAGAGTATTCCAAAGATTTATGAAAAGAAGTTTAGTAAACAAAAAAGAATTTATTAGAACGGAAAATCATTGTTCTACCCATTTGAAAAGAATCTGAAACATGGAAATGAGTTAAGAAAAAACAACTGCCTACAAGAGCAAACTTACTTCGTACCCATCTTCAGTTTCTACATCCTCTACTTGTATCTGTGGAATGAAGCTTTGAATGACTTCTATATACCTACTACCGAACAAACGAGTGGGATGACCATAGCAAGAGCCGGATATATTCGACAACTGCAAAGAAGTCATAAGTAGTTAGAACAGAACAAATGGAAAACTCACAAGACGCATATGACGTGATTCTTCTGACCTAAATGACTTCACATGAGTTTTGAGGAAGCTCAGGAACTTCATTTTGTTTTCTTCCACTGCTCCCGATCTGAAAAAACAAGTATGCTTCTTCTGACACCTCATCAAACCTATGTGTTGTTGACGTGACAGAGCACGATGACGCTAACCTTTCCAATGGAAAAGATTGTGTCACAGGATGGTTGTAGAGGGGTGATGGACTCTGGCATGAGCTTACTTGATCATTCATCCCTCTCATCGAACTAGAAGGAATAGACGAAGACGTTTTTGTGAGCCTATCATTCACTGGTTTAGAAGAGTTGTATTGTCTGAGAAATTGAAATAGGGTATCTTAACATGTTCTCTTACTCGAACTGGTTAGTAGTACTAGTATTGCGTGTACTTCTTGATTGAGAAAGTGAATCGTCGGAAGGTCCGCCGAAAAAGCTTCTATCAGGCAGAATTCATCAAACGGATATCAACTGAAACATACTTTTCTTGAACTGCTTTGGGAGGTGGTGTTCTACTGTTGCCTGATGAATTATACTGAAAACCAATGAATGTAAGTTACGGATGTCAAGAAGCATTTACTACCCCGAATAAAGGCTGAACAGTAGGATGCGACTGAGTATATGCAACTGGCGCAGGTTTTGGTACTGGTGCAAGAACTTCAACAGTTGATATCTAACAACCAGATTGTGAAACTAACCTGGATCTTCATTGACCGTCTTTTCCCATTTGTTTCTCAGAGTGAACTACAACAGATGAATAATATTTATGAAGATTAAACTCACCTGATCTTCTGGTTGTTTTTCCATTTCTGAAAGAACGTTAGCACTGCCAGGTATATTTGGAACATGCTCTCTGTTAACAGTTGATATGCATAACGACTGATCTCGTAAGTTTACCTGTTGGCCGAAGCTTCCTCCAAGAGCCTTTGTTGTTCTCTTTTTTGTTGCTTTCTCTCTTCCTTGGCAGCTATCTGAAATTAGGACCGAAATAAGCAACCAAGCCTCGAATGATTTTTACCGCTTCTTGACGTTTCCTTTTCTTCTCCTCTTTCTCTTTCCGCACATCCTCATCCTACATAGAAACATAAGTAACATGAAACTAAAAACTCAAACTTCATCGGAGAAGCATTTCTCAGATAGAATATCATCCTCATCGGTAGATAGGTCTTCGTGGCTAGTCTTAGGTGGTTCGTAACCAAAAGGAGTGTCCAAATTACTAGATTGGTAAAGATCCTCCTCGTCCATATTTCTCTTGAGTCTCTGTAAAACATTCTTATCGTCCAGATTAAGAAGTAATTCACATACTTGAACATAAGTTGCGGTAGCTGACGGTAAGCATGCTTCTTTGAGTTTCGACTGAGCACGTTCATCTCTCCTTCTTCTAAAATGCCTGGAATCTCTTCCTCTATCATCGAACTGTGCTTGGGCTTCTTCCCATTTTTTTTGAACGGATTGAATATCTTCGTCAGAGTAAACTAAGTATTGAAAAGATATTGAAATCATTTTGAATGAAACTTACTGAACTTCTCATAGTTTTCCTCAGTAAGACGCTCTTTGAAATAGATGTAAAGTTGATTCTCTGTCATGCAATATTCGATTATATCATTGAACTCTGTTAAAGCCAAGAAGTTGGTTGTTTTACTTTTGCCAAACAAATGTTTGTTAGCCTGAAGAAAGCTCTCTCATAAGATTTCAATTGATAAGTAATACCTTAGCATCCAACTGAGGGTATTCGTTCAAGTCGAGCAATTTCTCATAAAACAAGTACAAATCTGTATGGTACTGGTGTTCAGGTTCGCGTATGGAATTGTAAAACGTCTGTATCGTTTGCCATTTCACCTGTGTGGTAGACAGTTTGCTTAACGGAAATATAGAAACGAAATACTTTATCCTCGCTCAGTGCATTTATAACCAAATTCATCATATTAACTAGAAGGTTTCTTCCCTGAAAATGGAACATAAGGAAGGTTATGATAATCAACTCTTACATGCATACGTCTCTGCTTATTATCAGGTAACTCCATTTCACGACGTTTTTTCTGAGCTTTAGCCTCCATTCTGAACATGGTACTTAGGAACAAGGAAGGCTGAAAACCAACTCTGCCGTTTTCTTTTTGAAACAACGTTTGAGTTCACTAAGCAATCCACCAATGCAGCTATTTTCAACAGGCCTGTCAAATAGAAAAAAATCCTTTGTAAACTGTATGACTAACCTGTATCGGTTGCCGTCAGATGTGTTCACTTCTTCAATGACTCCCCGAAAAATGGGGTTCCGCAAAACTAACTCCTAAAAAAAGCTTTATGACACTCAATGAACACGGAACGTACAATGTTTTTTTTCGCCGCATCTGATTCATTAAGAACAGCTCCTATTCTTTTCAAGGTTATGAATCGATTTGTGATATCTCTGAAAATCCATGGTTCATGCAATATTTCAAATGTTTTTTTTACGCTAAGTTTTGATCAATGAGTGCTGCGCTGACTCCCGCATCATCAATGTACGCTGATGAAGCCATAAGTGCACCTAAAACATGACCTTGAATCTCTTCCTGCAAAATATGATCTTGTGAATAACACAGTCCGGCTTACAGGGTAAATTACAGCATCCGGAACCTTTTCATCTTCTGCAAACTTAGGACACATCTTGAACGTTCTTCGTAAATATTCCAGGTCATCGACTACGACAGACTGCAATGGACACCCATGTCTCGATGTAATTCAGCTCATACCGGCTCTATTTCCAACTCTATTGGTTCTTCATCATCTGGATAGTTTGGTATTATTACTCCCCCGAAATCAGAAAGATCACTATCAATGTTCGCCGATCCACTCATTATAAAAATTTGAATAGGCTGTAAGAAAAAGATATTAATGCTGCAAATGTTCACAACACGCTACTGAATTTCAAAACTTATTCTAAATATTAAGTGACGTGCGCACGAAAATGCGCGTGTGGCTGCAAGTTGCGTACTAACGCCCTGTCTGTGTAAAACATTAATTAATTATAAAAGTATCAGCTTTTCTTGAGTATTTGGAATTTCGTCTTTCGAATAGTTGGAGTCATGTGTTTCTTATTTAAGATATTTGTTTATGCATAGTGGTTTACCGAGTCAAGGTTCTATTCTACGAATTCCTTCGAATTTGAAAACTACATCGGCTAATACACCTGAAGTATTGAGTAACATTCCAGTATCCTCATCTTTTCGGCCTTTCAGGTACTTGTACGCTTCTTCAACGTCACTTCCAGGGACGTAGATCTCATTTGGATTAATCAAAAGGTTTTCTATGATCAGCTGTTGCTTAATAATCAGTCCAAATAGGGTTTTGGTATTCGATACGCCAAGCTCGCAAAGAGTCGTCATATAGATATCCGCACATTCGAAGGGCATTATTGGATTCTCCGTGAATCTGGAACAGGAACTCCCCTTTTAGCACAAATTTATTTTTCACCTACAACTTGGGAAGTATGTTAGCAATCACATATGTAATTGGAGTAAATGTTCTCAGAAATTCGAAGTTTATACCCCAGCTCGTCGAGATCCAGCCAATCCTCGAGTGGTTTGTAGAACATCAGTTTTTGTACGTTCCCCAGGTAGTTCATCAACGAGTTCATACCAACACGATTATTATATAGAAAGGACTCTTGCTGATTTGTGTATCAGAACAGTCTTGAAGCACAACTCAAACGTTGACGCCGTTGCGCAATTACCTCTTCCTGGAAATCTAATTGTAGTCGATTGCCTCCGTATAGTTTTTCAATGGTTCCCTTTCAGACTATTTTGCTCGAGGCAGCTTATCACACGCACTTCTATCAACGGTATTTTAATATATTTCCTGACATCGTAGCTAGAACCGCAGCATTACCCAGAGAAGATCCTGAGGTACTGATGATAACAGATGCAGAAGTAATAGATTATTCAAGAATGACGCCCCCAGAGAAGAAAACTAAAAAACTTACCAATAACGTAGAAGCCAAGAAAATCAAAGAGCTAGTAGAAGAAGCTTTACAAAAAGGTGAGTCCGACTTCTAGCCTATCAATGAGTTCTTTCAAACTGCAGATGACACCAAAGCTCGATGGGAAGCAATCAAGCTCCTTCGACAACAAGGACATCTCCATGAAATAGCCAAAGTATATGTACAACTAATTTCTGATAATGTAAGTGTTTATATCACTCTATAATGCTGATTGAATTGTTAAGGATCTAATTGAACTGTCAGATGAAGATATGCTCCAATTAGATGACTATTTCTCGTTAATGACGAGTAACACTGCTTCCAGTTATTACAAACTTCTAACCGATGCTGTTGACAAGCACAACGACAATGTCAAAAAATTAGGGTGAGCCCCCTCGTGTTTCCTGCTTAGTTATTCCGTTACAGCAACATCGTTCGTTTACTTAGCTATATGATCTTGAAAGTTGACTTGGTAAGCAATGTCGCTTTCACAGAGCTTCTTTCGAACGATCTGATTACCCTCATACACGACAGAATTCCATACTTCACTGGCAAAGGTATGCTTGACCCTTTTTCACT